AAAACAGCAATGCAGCCCCCTGACTAGAGCAAGGTCTGAGAGCACCATAATGAAGTTATTATTATTTTATTAGGGGTTCTTATGATAAAACACTATCTCACTCATCTCTTCCCGATGTCAGAGAAAAAGGAAAAGGCACATCTGTCTCTGTGGAAAGGGATCCTACAGTACTGGCCCTGTGTGGATTTTAAAGCTCAAGAGGGAGAGACTGGCAGGAGAGATGCAGGCAGCACCTCTGGATTATGGCCTTCTTTTTAAGGTTACTTGACCCAAAGCTTGTGCTACTATTTTATCAAGTGCAGTCAGATTCAGAGCATTGGTCTTTGATCTTGCATGGTGCTGTAAAAGCCATCTCAATTTGTAGTATACTTTACTGCTCAGAGACTTGCCTGCATGGTGAGCAAATGTCTGTTGTCAAACAAAGATATTCCTAAAAGTGTGTGTGTAGATATATAAACATATATAAAACACCTGAAGGCAGCCTTCTACATCTGTTACTGCTATGCTAAAATTATATTTGAATGGATAAGATAGGATCAGATCAAATCAATTTGTATCTCAAATAAAATTAATTTTTGCCTTGCCTTGCTTTCACAGGATGGAAACATAACTCCAACTTGAATATACATTAGGGGAATTTCCACATCTATGCCTAATGTAAAAGACAGAGCAGGTGATATTTCTAAGGCTTATTAGTGTTTATTTAATGAGATCATATGTACTGAATCAACTTTCCAAAGACATCATCTCTTCAGTATCACTATTTCTGCACCTGTATTGCCTGTATCCATCTCCTTTGCTATGGTATGAATGTGCTGTCTTTAAACTCCCATCAGATCTAAGAGAGCCTGTGTAGATTTGCTCGCCCTTCCTGCACAGAACATTACAATCTTTATAAAATATTAAATTTGTGTAGTCTGCCGGAGAAGCAATTGTTCCAAAATAAAATCAGCAGTCTAGACGAAACATAGACACCAGAACTTATCAACAGTTGTCTGACTTACATCTTCTGATGCATCTTGAGTGGGTCATAATACCAACTTTATTTTCAGTGGTGCATAAATTAATTACACGCATTTAATAACCAAAATATCATTATATTCCCCCTTTAATATCATAAAGGCTTTACGCCAGGGAAGCACTTAATGTGCAGGGGGCCATAACAGGCTATTATCCTTGTGTAATGCTATTACAGAACCAATTATGCGCCATTATACTTGCTTTTTTTGCAGTTTATGTGATTTGATCCAATCCCGCGTCCCTGACTTGAAAATTTCATCTGGGTACTTTAAAGTCTAATTTTCACCCGGGCTGAGGCAAGGGCCATCTCTCTCCGCTGAGCCTATGTCTCGGATGCATTTTAAAAGTAATTGCGAAGGGTCCCGCCGCATATCATTTGCAGACGGGAAGCGAGCATAAATCCAGAGACCCCTCGCTGCGAACAAAATCAAACTTTGCCGTGGTACGATCGCTTGGAAAGGCGAGGCGTGTGCAGAGCGGCCCCCCAAAACCCATCCGGCGGCAATTACCGGCGCTCCGGCAGCGGCGGGCGGCGGGGCCGCGCTCGGTGCGGCGGAGCCCCCCCGGCCCGCACCCCCGGGCACCCCGGGCGGGGGACACGCAGGGGGCTGCGAGCCCCGGAGCGCAGAGCTCGGAAAATAATGGGATTGTGCTGCTGCCGTTCACATTCCTGGCGTTTGCTGAGAAATTACGTTTTTTTCTTTTCATCCTCTCCACCCCCCCTGCTCTGCACACCACGTGGGCCATTTGTAGGGCCCAATAGACCTATCCAAGTTACTCACTGTAGACAGCGCTGGAAATAATCAGATTAAGGCCAATTATGCGTGAGATTATAAAGGCAAGTGCTGAGAGGCAGAGCATGCTGTAGACAGATATAAAGACATCTGGCCACTTCCAGAACTCCACAGAGCCCTTCTGTCTCTGCAGCCAACAACTCACAGCGCCTTATTCTAAAGCAAAACACCCCCAAACCTTACCGGTGATTTTTACTTCTGTTCGGTTTAGGTATGGATTACTATATTAATAGACCTTCTGGATTTATTGTTTGTTTGCTTGTTTGTTTTTAGTATGACTTAATATAAATTTGAATTGTTGTTTGATTTTTTTTTTTTTTTTTTACTTGCCGAGGACATTGGCTCCCAGTGTGTTGGATGCTTTAAAAAGAAGGCAGCTTTTAGGTTTTATTGCTGTTTCATTTAGGCAGAATAATTTAGATTTTCTTTTAAGCCGTTCAGTCTTACCTGCAAACGTGGTTTTTTTTTTTTTTCCCTTATGTAACTATTTGTTCCATAAAGGAATATTTGAGATAGATAGATACATAATTAGATAGATAGAGAGAGATGATAGATAGATAGATAGATAGATAGATAGATAGATAGATAGATAGATAGATAGATAGATAGATAGATGGATGGATGGATGGATGGATGGAAGAACAAGAGAGGCACAATCTGCTATTCCCGGCAGAAAAAAAAAAAAAAAAAAACCACAACAAAGTTTTTTGCTGATTCTGATTACTGTACGCCAACCACGGAGTTTTCTGCCTTTGGCTTTTTAAATTCGTTGCACAGGGTCAGACGCTACTTTCTCTTCTTCCTCTGGGATGGGCTTTAGGGTTTTCAGTGGGTTTCTTCAAGTGTTTTGTTCTGGCTCTTCACCTATTCTGCTCTTTCCCTCTGTGTGTTCCGATCTGCAGGAGGCACCTCGGCGGCGCGTCGCGGTGCCCGATTCGGGAGCTGCTGCCGGCCCGTCGGTGCGGGGCGTGCGCGGGAGCCCCGCGCCCCGCGGGCTGGCCCCGGTCCCGGCCGCCGTCGGGCTCGCAGCTGCGGGCAGCGGGCGCCCACCCAGCCGCAGGGCCATGTTCTACTTCCACTGCCCCCCGCAGCTAGAGGGTGAGTGTTGTCGCACAGAGATGTCTAAATACAAGAGCTGAACTTCGAGGTGTCTGTGGGCGGGGGGTGCGCTGGGGACGGAAGGAGAAACTGTGACCGAACTTGCGCCACGATTGTCGCGTGCTGGGATAAGATGCAAATTTATAGAGACAACTAAATAGCATCCTTTTCCTTAAGAAAATACAACCCTATCCCCCTCCCCCCTCCTAGCTTCCCCTCTTGTCACAGGAAGGAAAGGAAAGAATGATTGCATGACTTTTTTTTTTTTTTTTTTTTTTTTTTTTTTTTAATTTGATTCCTGCTGGAAAGGGCTTGGTTTTACACCCCCACCCCCGTCATTTTGCCACCTGCCTCCCCTCTGTGGATAGCGATCCCGCAGTTGAGCCTCAGGCTAAGAGAGATGCTTTTCTCCCCTCCCAGCACAGATGTTGGTGTCATGGCTGTAATCGGGACACTTTCAGGACGTGATCACGCCTCCTCCCTCCAGCCAAAGGGACCGCATAAATCTTTAATGCTATTTTGCAAACATTCTGCGGGAGGATGGGGAAAACTGAGGTACAACAGCAGAAAAAAAAAATACGGGGGAAAATATATATTTGGGAGCATGATTTTCTTTGTGCTATTGGTTAGAGACTTAATTTTATTATTGTTGTTGTTGTCGTAGTTGATTTCCTTTCCAAAAATTGGCAGCCTTCAGGATTTCCTCGTGTCCCCCCCGCAGATGCCCAGGCCCCTCTGCCCCGCTCCCTCCGGCCGCTGCTCGCAGTGCGCGGAGCATCCCCGGGGCCGCGGCCGCGCAGCACCGGCCCCCGGTGGCTGTCCCGCCGCCCCGAGCACTGCCGGCACCCGCGGCTGCACGGCGGGGGAAGAGACCCGGCCCCGTAAAATCCCCTGGCAAGGATGTTCCTCGCACGGGCATCACCCCGCGAGAAAGGGGCTTTCCCTGCGGCGGCGCTGGCAGGAGGAAATGGTCCAGCGGTTTCATCCCCCATCGGGGGAGGGTCAGCCCCTCTTGCAGCACGGCTTCCCAGGGCCAGCGGACCCAAGCCGGTCTGTGCATCCCGGCTGGAGTATTCTCTCTCCCAAGTTTTCTCCGGGCGGGACGGGGGAGCCGGACTGGGCAGGACAGTGCGAGGGTCCCTCCCGCCGGTGCCACCGAGCTCTGAGGCGGCTTTGTTTGCTAGTTTTTGGCAGATAGGTTTGGAAACACGGTTTTGTTTTTGCTTGTTTGTTTGCATTATGTTTGTTTCCCCGGTGGCAGCGTGGGGCCTGTGCCTGTGTTTGGCGGCCCGAGACGGGGAGCGGCCCCGCAGGCTGCAGCCTCTCCCGGTGCTGTCCGGGGCCGGCCCCTCGCTCTCCCGGCTTGGGCAGCAGCGGGATGGGGGAAGGGGAGATCTGTACTGCCAAAGGATGAAAACAGCGTTGGGCATCACAAGTAAAAAAGTTAAAAAAAACATACAACTCCGTCCAAACCCCCCCTACCCACCCATCACCAAATCAAAGCAGCGGAAACAGAAAAGCTCTGTCCGGCCAGCCGGGGAGGTCCGGTGCCGCAGGGAAGAAGAGACGGCTTTCTGGGGTCACCAGGACAGTATTTTATTCTCTGATGAGCCTCTCCCAGGCCCAGCGGAGTGAGGTCTGTGCGAGGAGAGGGCTCGGGGCCGTGTTTGTCTTCCAAATGATGCTGGAAGATGAGCGGTGACCTCCAGCCCACGTACCCCAGAGCACTCCAGGGGCAGATCTGCAAGTAGGGTCACGGCGACACTCAGCAACGCTTCTGGGGGTTTGGGTAGATTTCTGTTCTGTGAGGGTTTCTTTTGGTTTGGCTTTGTTTTTTGTTTGTGGGTTTTGGTTTGGGGCTCTTTTTGTTTTCTTTTTTTGGTTTGAGGTTGGTTCTTTTGGTTTTATTTTTTGCTCTGGTTTAAGTTTTGAGTGGTTTTTTGGTGTCTTTTGTTTTGTTTGTGGCTTTTTTACCCTGTTTTGTCAGAGAACAGGAAGGGAGTGACCCATTTCAACACGGGCACGCAGAGATGATGTGTGAGCGGTGGGAGCACAAGGCCGGGCTCCGCTCCACGGGATGTGGTTCGCATGCCGGTGGCCCATGTGGCCTCTCCCGACCTCCCTCTGGGGACAAAGCCCCGGTGTCCCAACCTCGATCCCGGTCGGGGAAGGGCAGGGCGGCCTCCCCCAGCCCCGCTACCGACTCCCGGCGGTTCAGCCGTGGCCGAGCCGCCGGTGCGGGGCTGCACCACGTTCACGTTCTCCTCCAGAAGCCGGGGCGAGCAGACGGGGCCGGTTCGGCCGCTCCGCGGGGTGCGTTCCTCGCCCGGGCAGGGCTCCCTCGGTACACGGGCACGGCCTTGGCCAGCTGCTCTCCACATGCCTATGTCAAAGCTTCGTCTCTTCGTCCTTCTAAAACACAAATTGCCCGAAAAATGCTCTTTGCCGGGCGCAAAATCCCCCAGTGCCCGCAGCAGCCCCGGCCCCGCGGGGCTGGGGCAGCACCGCCCGCCCGAGCGCTCCGTGCCCCGGCCCGGTGCCCCTAACGCGGCTCTGGCCCGCAGGCGCTGCCCCCTTCGGAGGTCACTCCGCCGGCGACTTCGACGACGGCTTCCTGCGCAGGAAGCAGCGCCGCAACCGCACCACCTTCACCTTGCAGCAGGTAGGAGCCCGCTTCTCCGCGCCCCTGGCCCCCGCACCCGCTGCCCCCCGCTTGCCCGCCCCGCATCGCTCCCTGCCTCCCCCGTGCCTGCTCCCTGCTAGCCCCCAGCCTCCTCCCGCATGCCCCGTGCCATGCCAGCCCGTCCTGCCTGCCCCTCTGCCTCGGTGGCCCCGTTTTCCTCATCCATGCCTGGCAGACACCCCCGTGGGGCAGCTGGATCCCTCAGGGTCCCTCACAGATCTTTGCTCTCCTTCCCTCCATCAGCTCGAGGCCCTGGAAGCCGTTTTTGCTCAAACCCACTACCCCGATGTGTTCACTAGGGAAGAGCTGGCTCTGAAAATCAACCTCACGGAGGCCAGGGTGCAGGTAAACATCCTGGGGAATTACTTAACTCGGATGTTCAAACTGGCAAACTTTTTAAAATTTTTTTTTTAATTTGACATCATGACTGCAGAGTGCACATTTGGCCAAAGAACGCAAATGAAGACGATCTGTCATTTTCATGATGCACTTTAATAACATCAACATAATGTGGAATATTAGATTAGGTTGATTAATCGGTCATTCATAATTAACTAGTGATAATGTTCTACACTAATTTGTCCGCGTCTCCAAGGTACTAAATTACATCAATGCACATCCATTTCCTTGCTTTTGGAGGGGGGGCGTGGTGCAGAGAAAAGAGCTGAGACGTGATTCTCCAAAGCAACTATGACCACTGTTGAGCAGTGGGGTTAGTCAACTGCAGGGAGCCCAGCTGCCAGGAAGAAAGCTTCTGCACCTCTTCAACTTTTCTCCCTTTTGCCTTCTTTCTAAACACTTAATTTAGGCAGATAAATAGCCTGCAGAGCAATTCCCACACCTTTAATATGATCCAATAAATACCATTGGCCATGATTACTCTTTCCACAGCCACACTTTTTCAGCCCTTCCTTTCTTCCTTCTCCTTACCTTTTCCTTGGTTTTTTTTTTTTTTTTCTTTTTCCATATGTTTGTTTTCCATATCCAGTCCATATGTAGGTGTACATGCTCTGCTAAGAGAAGCAGTCCAGCAGTCATCAGGGATGGATCCCTGTAACTCTTCAGGCATCCACAACAGAGTTGCAAACCGTTTTTTGAACATGATTATGCATTCATTTTTATTTATGCAGCTTTTCTGCACGGTGTTCTTCTATTTTTTTTTTTTAATTTAGGTGCTTGGGGTTAAGACTATGCAAAGATCTAATTGTAGGAAATATAATAGCTTGCCTTTTGTTCCCTAGGGTCATGTTAGTATCTCTTAAAACCCAATGGCTGAAGAGAGATAATGGAATTCACCACAGTAAATTGGGGATTGTAAACAAATTATTTCTCCTATAATCAGATTATGTGATCCTGATTATTAAATCTGAACATGAATCATTGGTCATATGCGGGCAAATTAAACTGATTATTATTTGGAAATGAAAATCTCCTTTTACCACTGCATTGTAGGTACTGGCTTAAAAAAATAATAAAAAATGCCATTTTGGCTATTGGTGCCTAAAGACTGAACTGCAAATTGAGATAAATGGGACAATTATTGAGCATTCAGAAGTGGAAGATCATAACTTCTTCCTGAAAGGTGCAAGGGTGAGATAGGGGTGGTGACAATTAGATTGCTGAGGACTGGTGTTTAGCCTTGTTGTTGGCTATTATGCAAACAGACAATAGATGCAAGCATTTGTTTAGCCTGCTTTCATGCAGGGACATGGGGAAACACAGAGGATGGGAGATATGTTTACATTATACCCCTTGCTCATTCAAATATGATTAATGTGCTATAAAGCAGAGTCTTAATCGAAGATGATGTTGTCAAACAATAACTAAATAGGGAAATAAACGACTTCATCATGCTCTTTCCTCAGAAGCAGGCGAACTGTCAGTGCAAAGTCATTAAAATATGATAATGAAAAATAGCTCAATTAAATATTGTTATAGCTGTGACCTTCATTCAATTAAGACACAAGAAAGTGTCTGCATTTTGCTTTGCATTTAACTGCTCTAAATTTAGAATATAGATAAAATCATTATTCAATGTTTGCTGATACACGCAATTAAAAGGCAGCTAACTAAAATGGAATTGGAGAAGGAGAAGAATAATAATAACAACAATCTCTCCTATACTTGAATTCATGTATTAAAATGTGGATTTCCTGACCTCAAGAGAGGCTTGGCATTTGCCACCTCAAACATAGCTCTTTCAGCATATCAGCTCCAAGGTTAATAGAAAAGAAAAGTTTTTAGATTAAAAGTCAGGTGAAAAAAATCAAAAATATGAATATTTGTTTTGCATATGGGAAAAAAAATGTTTGGAAACTGGTGTTCTATTCTGAGGTCATAGTGTGGCCTGAGGTGGGGTTAGTTGCACAACAATATTATTAAACTCCAGAATGATGTTCCAAAATTAGTACCTACCTGCTTCTGAGTCCTCTGAAAGCAGACTGGACATGAGAGGAAGAACAGCCAGAAAATGGGCTGGATAAGATGCAGATACACACCTTTTCACTTCTAACCTCTCTGATCTAGCAACAACTGATTTAAAGAGTTATGTATGTTTTCATCAGAGTGCTTAGATATGTATAACCCTAAATTTTTGTTGTGGCATGCCTTTTGAATGTCTTTAGACATTTCTGGCTTGTTTTCCAGATGCAGAAATATTACTCAATGATACAAATGTCATCCTAAGACTCAATTAGAATAGCAATGGAGATACAAAATAAGAGGTATATTTAGCCAAGTTACTAAATGACAGATTTCACTAGAGTAACAATTTACAATCTCCTTTCTTCACATTTGGCTAAACATGGTTTTCATCTAGGATTTCTCTCCCACTCCAGGTCTGGTTCCAAAATCGAAGGGCTAAATGGAGAAAAACAGAGAGGGGTGCTTCTGACCAAGAGGGCTCTAAGGAAACCATGGCTGAGGTGGCACCTCCTGCCAGGAATTTAAATTCCCCTTCTCCAACAGATCAAACCAGGAATAAAAAAGAGGGCCTGGAGATCCAGCAGAGGTAAGAGAAATACCTGATATCAGCTGCCTACCTGTCTGTGGGGTAAGAATGCCTCATATGTGTATATGTGCATACAGATTTGCTGCTATGCCTTGACCTAGAGGTATCATCTTTAGAGAATGAGGTGTTTCTTGTGCAATCCACTGTTCCCTGTGGAGATGCTGAAGAGCTTGTGGCTGTGGGAGACTGATGTTGTCCAGCCTGGGTCACATCTAGTTGTGTGCTGAGACACCAATGTGTTAGAGTGCATGCACAAATGGAATCAGCTGGGTCTGGTTTTGTAAGGAATTTTTCTCTTTTCTCCATCAGCCTGAGCCGAGCTGTGGGTCCTACAGGACCTTTCTTCCCTTCCTGCCTGCCGGGGACTCTTCTCAACACAGCCACCTATGCACAAGCCTTATCCCATGTCGCCTCTCTAAAAGGTAAATTACTTTACTTAACTTGGGAGTGAGCTCAAAGAGCACCCCTTTCAAGCCAAGCGGCATGGTCCCACTGCCCTCTGTGAGGAAACCTCTGGGAAATGGCAGATCCCTCTTTCTCTTTAGACTGGCAGTAGTTGCACAGATCAGTGCTGCACATACTAAAGTGAGTCTCCTGTCGTATCTAGTAGCATCATTTTTGGCAAAACTTCAATTTACTGTCACAGCTACTTTTTGTGAGGTCAGGTTTTCTCTGAAGGAGCAAGATAGGTAGGGTTTTCTCCTTTAGAGTTTTTGTTGCATGTGCTTTTTTTTTAAGAGTTAAATTTATTCTAATAAATTAGTTATATACATCCTTTTGCATTATGTAGTACCTGGCACCATTACTGATGCCTCATCTGCTCTTTGCATGTGGTTTCCTTTGCAGTGCATCTCTGCACAATCCAGACCTTTCTCTTCAGACAGTAGGTCCCCTTTGAGAACTTGAGTAAAGCATGTTCCCAGGGACAGGGGAGGATACAATATAATTCCTCATTACCTGGGACCCCGGCTTCAGGAAGGGTACATCCCGTATCTGTATACTTTTGGTTTCCAGCAGCAGTATGCAACTTTTAAAAATAAATCACCTACTCATCCATTAGCTGTTCTTAGTCTAACAATTTATAAGACTAAGAGTGTAAGCAGGATGAATTCAATTTATAGATTTATAGGATGCAAAGCCTCATAGCAGTGCCAAGCACAAAGAGGCACATACATTTACTCTGTGTCCCAACGTGCTGCAAGAACTTGTGAGGAAAGTTTCTCAGATAAAGACCCCCCACTATAAAGAAAAATGTCCTCTAATACATCTCACTGTATTTTCTGGCATACCTCATGTTCCTTGTATTTCCAGTTAAATCAGCACTGCCAAGGTTTATTCCTGGAGCAAATGTTTGGAGCTCCTGATTTGTGTGTTAAGTCCAGTGTCCTGCCCCCTGCAACCCCTTCCCTCCTGTCTTTCAAAAAAAGCTGAAGCCAGACACATCACACAGTTACTGCTCTTTTGGTAGGTGTGGGACCTGGAATTTTGAATCAAGAAAGGACACACACGTGTGGCCTGAACCCTAAAACTCAAAGGCTAATTGTCACCTGTAAGTGGGCAGCAGCTGTTTAGGGTACCTGACTCCTCTTGATCTCTGCCCTGTGAAGTCTTGGGGTTGCAAATTTTGAATTTTTGCATCGGGAAGGAACAGCCTCTCTTGAGTAGATAAGCTGAAATTTTTCAGGCAAAAAAAATTGCTTATTGATAACTGTAGTCCCAGACAAGTTGAAAAGTGTGGAAATAAGGTTCAGTGAATAATTTCGATGACAGTAAAGGGGGCTTTTTCCTTAAAGTTTGCATTCAAAAATTTTCAAAATAAAATGCATCAATATGCCTTCTCACTTGTTTCATGTTAAAATGTAGTTAAATTTCATGAAAAAATTACCCAAATAAACCAAACCAACCAAAATGAAAGAAAAAGATTAAAAAATGTTGTGAGGTGTTGGTATTTTTAGCTGGTTGGATTTTTTTTGTTTGTTTGTTTGTGATTGGATTTTTGTTGTTGTTATTTTTGGTTTTTTATTTGGAAAACTTCCTGATACTCTTTTCTTTGATTTTACAGCTTAGATAATAAATTGAGAAACTAATAATTTGCTCTTTTTTACTTGATTGAAGTTTTTACAGCCTAGGGACAGAAAAAGTTCTATTCCTGAATCTTTTGTAGATATTAAATAGTCAGTTGCCCAGACTAAGAGACGGTGTCCTGAAGAAACTGGCCCAAATGTAGATAGAGATTTTTTATTTATACAATTTATACAGGAATGGTCAGCATCAGATGCCTGCATATTGTCTTGGTGAATGTTATCAGTCATACATGCAGTTCATTCCTGAAATGTCTGGAACAGGACAGGGAGAGACACAGGGCTCACAAAACCTTAATGTGACTGTCTTTGTCATATGCTCGGTTCAGTTTGCTTGACTCTCCCTTTTCATTTTCATTTGAGACAGGAGCTGTGTGCATGTGGGCAGTAGTAAATGTCCTTATACATCTTAATTAAGGGACCTAAGCCCTCCCTTGAAAATCTAGTTATAAGCTTCTTGTTTTTTGGATTGTTTGGATAAGGGAAAATCCATCAAGTAGAAAGGTTTTTCAAAATTTTGCAAGTTTTATTGAGGAGTGAAATGATTGAGAGGTCTTCCCAGTATTTGTCTTGTGCTAGCCATGCTTTGAAACTACAAGGAATTCTCTGTGCTTTTGGAAGCAAAATAGTTGCTCCAAAATCAAAGCATTATTTCACTAGGAAAGGATGGATGGCCCTGCTTTCTGCTATGTAAGTGTCAAACCAAATGCAGCTCCTCTATGTGGACCTTCTAAACAGATATATATTCCCACCACTGAGAGAACGATCTTGGCAGTAAAGGGAATCACAGCCTTCAGTACAGCCATACGATCTGCCTGCAAAAAAATCAGCACTCTCAGCACATCAGGGTTTACTAGGAAATGTAGGTTGTTTTCCTATTCTTTTGAGGAGACAAGATGTGTTTTGTTGGACTTGTGAGCCAACAATTTGCTGGTGTCAGTGAATAATATTTGACTGATGCTTTAGAAGGAAACAAAATCAATATAGTGAATAACAAGTGATGATGGTGATGTAAGTAATTAATAATTATTTTATGCTCTCAGGGACCATTTTCATTCTGTCATCTGAGAGCTTTTCATCTTTAGTAAAAAAACCCAATACCTCTCTTTCTCTGACTTTGCTTGGCTCCAGACCTAGCTTTCCAAAGCACATAAAGTGTTTAGGACACAGGGTTCTGGGATTTAATTTGTAGTAAAAGGATGTAATAGTTGATGGTGAAGACTAATCTACAAGAGACAGGAAATCTTAAGACAGCCTAGTCTGGGGCAGGGACTAAGACTGCAACTTTGTTTTTGGAAAGACATGTTTGCCTCAAGTGGCTTTGGATCCCCCATGTGCCATTTCTAGGATATGGGGATATTGTTGGAACATGAGACCAGGTCTGCTCTTATGAATGACAAGAAAGCTATTTCCCTAGGAACTATGCCCCATGAACTCTGCTGTCTCTGAAACCGAGATTTTTTTCTCCATCAAAGTGAGGATATTGGCACCACAGGATGTTCTGCTAATAAAATGGGATGGCTATACTACGCAAAGAAAACTGTTCTTCAGAATATAGACTTTTCCAGAGAAGAGTATATTATCGCTGGACAGTTTTTCTCTATAAAATATTCTCTGTTCAATAATACAACTGACCTTTTCCTGTTTTCTGTCTCTGTGAAGTTTAGCACACTGGAGGCTGTACTCAATAGCAAACATCTGTTAACTACTGTATCATCTCCCTATGTACTATTCTGTCAGGAAATATAATTCCTCATTTGAAAAATTAGCATAAGGTCATAATTTCTGGGGTATACAGTGTTTCCTGCTTCAGAGGTTTAGTACTTCACCACTGGCCATAATGAGGAAAAAGGTTGACTCACAGAGATGAAATTCTGATGTTCATTACTCTCTGAAATTGCCCTGATTTGACAACTTTGCTACTTCATTGTGGTAACTTCGACAGTTCCATGATCTTCTAAGATGAAACACTTACTGTAAGCCAGGCATCTGCAGTCCATTTAGTAGATTTAATTGCAGACCTCAAAGATGAAGGGAAAATACTTGTTTTATTTATGGGCTGTATAACTATAGAGTCATCTAAAGAAGCTAGTGTTCTGTGCAGAGAGAGACCTCAAAGTACCTTCTTAATGGATGACAGCATGAATGCAATTCATTAATGCAGAAGATGTTATTAATGGGTGTAAACAAGAATCTCCGCTTTCCAGCAGATGTGTTCTACCATTCTGGTGGCTGAGGCCAAGAGTGTGTCTCTTACATTCCGCTGAAATTTCCCCAGACTCATGATGAGTGAAGTGTATGAGGAGAGAAATAATTACACTTGCCAGGGAATTACTTTCATAATTCACCCACAGCTCTTCTTTGTGCAGGTTATAGCTCAGTTAGTTTTCATGGCACCCCCACACCACTGATAGAGAAGCACGATTGTATCACGCACATCCAAATGGGTATTGCAGGCCTCTGTTGATTAGGCTCTTTTATGGTTTGCTGCTACTATGGTTGCTGTTCATATTAGGGAGGCTTAATTGCAATAGCCAGGAAAAAAACCTAAAACATAACTAGAACTGCCCATCCATTACGTTTCAATTTCTATTATGGAAAGATGAAGGGAATTTGCTCAGTTCCATTGTACAATTCCCATTGCCAAGGCTATGAAAGAAGTGTTCAAGGGCCTAACTCGCCCTTGAACTGGTGTTTACTGAACTGAAGCTCTGCTGTTTACCGTAAGACTGGGGGATGGGAATAAAACTCTTGGGGTCTTTTATTTTCAGTGCTATTCTGGATTATGGATTTACTGACTTTTCTGACATAACATAGCCAATATATTAAGTGGGTCTGTTTAGCATTTTTCTTAGTTTATCTGCCACTCTGACTTCAGAGAATCTAAAACATTTCTTTAGTTTGCTGCAGATACACAAATTGACACAATTGAGAAAATTATTTTGTTTCCCACATCACAGGTCCCCAGCTCTAGCTTTGCCCTACCTCACAGGTAGACATTTTTGGTCTTTTTCACAAATACTACGAAATACACAGGTACTTGGAGCCCTAAGAGCCATGGATAGGAAATAGGTGCTGTCTTGTTCCTCCAGGACAAATCTTGATTAGGTTAGTGGGCCTCAGCTGGGCAGGGGGTCCTGTTGATGAGGTTGCCAAGCAGACACTATTCAAAGGACTAGTTCTGTTCTCCCAGATTTTTTGTGGGGCTTTGCTGCCAGCCTTCCTGCCTTAACAGGCAAATCCTGGCTTCTGATATTTTTTTTTATTTTTTTTTTTATTGTACATATAATGGAGGATGAAATCCTCCAGTTCCAATGTCCCCAAATTAAACTGGGACCATCTGATGCTTCCCCATTTTAGGATTGAGTTCATGCCTTTCTTGTTCCGAACTTCCTGATTCAGAGCTCAAGAAGGCTTGAATAAAGCCACTTTTATGTTTCCTACTTTAGACTTAGGCTTTAACTGACAGAATTTTGTCATCTGTGAAGTGCGAGAGGGAGCTCCCATTGAATCAGCTCCCACTGTGGTGATCAACACTACAAACCTGAGATTGCTGTTGACCTTCCAATCCTTATAAAAGGGATTTGAGCTGAAGAAAACCAATGTGACTACTAGGAGAAGATAACAATAATTAAATCAAACATAATCTTTTCTCTGAAAACTAAACATTATGCATTGATATATGAGGGGTTTAAATGGGCTTTTTTCTCTCTTTCTCTCCATGTCAGGTTGTCATTCAGCTGTCCATATCAAATGCTGATATGTACAAATAATGAAAGAAGAAAGGAATGTGGAGTTTGCCTTTTGGAAAGACTACCTATTAAATTCTTTAAGACCTTGACTTGAAACATAAAATACTATTTAAAAAATTATATTAATATTTATGTATCAGCATGTGCCCCACTCCCATCCCTCTCTTCCCACCTTAAACTGATCCGTGGAACTGCACAAAAGAGTCCACAATGAAAAGTGTAGATCTGATATTGTTACAATTTAAATGTGATGTTGGCAGAGACAAGACAAAACTAATTTAATTTTTCCTGTCAGTCTCTGTAGTAGATCAATTAAACTGCCAAGTGGATCAAATATTTCAGACTGTATTTATTACATTAAGTATTTATGTTCAGGCTGAGCATTTAAAGTATGATCTCATATAGGAATAGAAGGAGGTTTGGATCAATCCAGCAGAATTTGCTGTAAGTTAATGGAAATCTAATTGTGTATTTTAATTTTGTGTGCAGAAGGCAGTAAGTTCCTGAGAGAAAGCAAACAGTACCCTGTCCATATTGCAGCAACTTGATAGAAATCCTATTAAACTAATCTCAGATTGTCATAGATGTCGGTGGGGGCTGGATCAAGATCTAGGGCTAACAGCTGAACCCTCACTGATTTTGATGTATGCCTGAGGTCCTCTGAAGATTTGAAATAAGTAGGAACAATTCCTTCCTTTCCCACTGTTGGCTCAGGGCTACTGCAATAAGATGTTAAAAACCACTGCTGCCCGCTATATATGGATGCCTCTTTCTTGGTCATTGTCACTTTCCTGGAGATTGTGGGCTGACTGACGGGAAGGTGGTGACCTTGGACTCCTGAGTGATCCATTGTTGGCCTTGGCTTTGTGCTGGCAAAGTCCAGTACATTTCACAGGACTTATCTGCAGATTCAGATGATTGTAAGGGAGACTCAACCTTCTTTGCAACATAGGAATAAACAGGGCTAAATCCTTTTCTCCTCTATTCTAGCTGGACCCTGGAGCAAATGATGCTTTTTACTTTCCTTTTTTTCATGTGTGAGCTGTTTGCAAGTATTTTAACCTCAGTGGAAATGAAAGGAATTGTTTATGGGTGAATTATTGCTAGTGATAGCTTTGTTTCCACCACAGGTAACTGCACCCTCAGGTTGCAGAGCCACTAGGTAATATCAGGGCAAATTATTAAGCAAAGATCTTAGGCTGGTACTGAATACTGATAAATATTTTATTCCTCTAACAGTGGAATGAAAATTATTCTTAGGGGATAGAGTCGATTCCTGCTTTTTTTGAAAGGGGAAGACTGCTTTCCACTTCTCCCCACTTCCCACTAAGCAATGTCTGTGCCCAGTCCTGCATTAAACACTGCAGGCCAGCCCTCCCCTCAGCCTGGGAGCTGAACAGCTGTGTTTGAAAGCACCATTCAGTTTGTGTTAGAAAGCAGCAGTGAAAGGCAGTTGATGCTCCTGCAGGCCTCCTGGCTCCCCCATCTCTGAGCAGAACCTGAAGATAGTGGGACATGGTGAGAAAGACCTGCTGCAAACTGCAGGGACTCTGAAGGGCCTCTCCTCCCTCTTGTTGAAACAGTGGCTGTGATTCAAGAGGGCAAAAAATTACTTCATGAGCATGGCTAGTGGTGGCAAAAACTGTAAGTTGTGTTACTGAATAGATTTTATGACAAACCCTCCTTCTGACCTGCTCAAAACAGCCACAGAATTCAAGACTGAGCTTCCTAGAGCTAAAAGCAGAGGATTTTAGTAAAGTGCTGAAACTTGCTTGTGGTTAAATTCCTGGAACCATGGAATGTTGGTCTGCTGATTGTATGCTTTATCAGAAAAGTATTACAAGAGAAAAGGGTTCTCTCCATTTATATTAATAAGTTGTCCTTTGTAGATGCCATTTTTTGAAATGCAAGGAATACTTTTTCCTGAATGTTACGGCAACAACAAATCTCTGACAATTGCTGTGGAGAAGTCTTGCCAACATCTTAAAAACAAACAATTGTCTGCCTTCATTCCTAGCAGATGGGTGCTGACCCGTTGCTACCAAGAACAGAAGTGTAAAACTCTGTAGGTTATTAGTTCCATCACTTAGTCATGAGCCATTTAACTCAAATATTAACTGCAGAAATTAAAGCAAGTCCTTGGCTTGAAAAGATCAGGGGAAGATACTGCATTGTGCCAGGATGTGTGTGGCTGGGCTGTTTCTTGTTGAAAGGTAGCATATCAGCAAAAGACAGGCTTTTGCCAGGGGTGTACATGAGGATGTGGAGTTGTTGTGGCCTCTAAGAGCCCTGGAAACATGGTGACTAATGGTGTCATTTTTTTTTAACCAGAGAGTAAATTCAAGAAGTATCTCAGCCCTCCCACCCTGCCTCCCCATACGACTCCTCTATCACATTCTCCATCATTCAATAGTTGCCTATAAGCTGGGTACCAGAGTGGCTTTTTGGATGGACTTCATGTCCTGCCCAGTGATCAATCTACACTTCCAGGTGTGCTTGTTTGTGAACTGGGCCAAGCTCCAGCATTATCAAAGAGAAACCAGAGGAAGAGCCTCAGGAAGGCATCTGGTAGAGTGAGGACTGTCTCTGTCAGTGGGCTGCAGGGAAGGTTTTGGCTTCAAGAAAGACTAATCACTACATCTGTGCTGCAGTGTTTTCTTGCCTGCTTGGAGCAGCCACGTGTCTCCAATGACAGGGTAGAGATTCTCTGGCCCATCTTTCCTGATGGGACTCTAAAGCTGTATAACAGCAGCAACTTTCAGTAGCTTTTGCTCCCTTCTGGAGGCTGTTCTCTTTGAGGTGTCACCCTGAAGCAGCACAGACACTGAATGGGTAAAGGTAGAACGGACTCTTGCAGGTAGACATCATGCCAGTAGTAGGCTGGGGCCTAGCCAAGGGAAAGGATCTCATTTTACAGTGAGATGGGAGAAGGTCATCATAGCAAGAGAATATTTTCACCTTTCTCTCAGCTGTAATCTTTCAGTCAAAGATAAGCGACAGAACCCCTACACTCACTCACCAAATGCTGCTGCCTGCATTGATCAGGCTCAGTGTGCAGGTGGAGGGCAGGGAACATCTCCAGCATGGGGCTGATAGCAGCCACAGAACAGCAGCTTGATATGAGAGAGGAAATGAGCTGAGCCTTGCTTATCAGGAAATCTCACGTGTGATCTGAACTTCACTGCTCACCTCTGTCTCTACTTCCCTCTTGTACTCTGTTTGTCACCCTGGATGACTCAAGCGGAAGACCCTTCTCACAGAAGGATCAGCACAACAGGATAGTGGTTTTCTAGGCCTCGTGATCCAGAGGACACCTATGTACACACTAGAGGTCAATGTACCCACTAAAGGTCAACCCCATCTGTCCTCTTCAGACCGACCATGGAGGGAGCAGACGTTTTCCATGACCTTCCCCAGCAGTGACAGTGCCTTCTCTCCTTCCTCCCCAGGGAGCCCACTGTGCTCGTGCTGCGTTCCAGACCCCATGGGCCTCTCCTTCCTGCCCACCTATGGCTGCCAAAGCAACCGCACCGCCAGCGTGGCCGCGCTGCGCATGAAGGCGCGCGAGCACTCGGAGGCTGTGCTGCAGTCTGCCAACCTCCTGCCCGCCGCCAGCGGCAGCCCCACGCCTCCTGCCACAGCCGGCCCCGAGGGCAGCCAGGACAGGCAGCCCTCGCCAGCCAAGGAGCACATGGAAGGCGAGAAGAGCGTATGAGACCGGAGCGGCGCCGGCCCCGCGGCGCAGGGCAGGGAGTGCCGCCGCGCCCTGCCGTGGGTGAACTGCAGCATGGCTGGGCCCAGTGGGACATCCTGGCGCCACCAGGGACCCGCAGAGCTGAGAGGCCTCTTGGGCTGCCTTTCATGCACCCTTGCTCTTCTTGTGTCACTGTAGGTTCATTTCCCTGATTTATCAGCACTATCTGTGTTTGGTGAAACTGTTTTTATTCCTCCCTTGCCCCATACATCCCAGGGACGCTGAAAGGCCCAGGATCCTGGCTTGCTCCTGCACATCTTGACTTCCCATCCTGTGTGAAATGGATGGTTGGAAGCAGCACATCACTTCCAGATGAGAGTTCTGGGACAAGAGATGCAGCCAGACACCAGTTACTCCACTGCTCACAACACAGAGGGGAAGGAATATCCAGGTATATTCCAATTTGGCCTGCTGGTTTCTGAAGGTGCTTGACTTCAACCAAACCTATCCTGGGCAATCCAGGTGTAAGAGAAGAAGAAAATAGAACAAAAATCTTCATAATTTTTGTCTTTTTTTTTTCTTTTCTCTGAAAGTGAAACTTCTCATGCAGAGTAGATTACTGGGAAATTGCTGAGATCTGTTTACTTGTGACTAAAATCCTCTGTGTGAACATTAGTGTATTACTCTTGCCATTCCCTGCATTAGACATGAAGGACACATGACTTCAGAGTGGCATTCACAGCTTCAAACAGTAATGCTGGTATTTAATAGAGAGTCAATTGTCTCTAGATCTGCACAAAGCTGGGGGTATTTTGACATCACTGTCTTGGAGAAAGAGACTGGAAGAGAAAAATAATCCTTCACTGCAAGACTGAAAGCATGTTTTTCCATGTTTTATGTTTAATAAAGAAGAAATAAAGCTTGGAAGGATATTCCTTTATGCTATCCAAATTTATACTATTCCATTTACTGAAAGCTTGTTGTAATGAATCTAGATATGAAAAGGTACTAATTATTATAGATTGGGAACAGTGCAAAGGAAATTGATGCCTCAGTGAATTTAGTCTCATCTCTCACCCAAACTTCCCCAAAGCAAAACAGAATTAGATTTGAAGAGCAGTAATTTTAATCTGGGGTGCCTCATTTTTTTTTCCAGGGGAACTGCACATGAAGATTTAAACTTAGCTACATGGACTTGAATTTTTCCAGGTGCCATTTGCAGATTCCTTAGGCGTGTCCAGAGGTGTCCCTGGAGAACAGGCTGAAACCACTTTTCTGAGATTTTGGTTAAGTAACATGGAGGCTAGTGGAAGGATTCCTGTCACCTCTGATCCTGCACATTGTGCTGCAGACCTCCTGAAATGTGCTGAGCACATGCCTTTACACAGGGTTTGTTTGGCTGTTCACAGGATCCAAGTTTGGGGTTGTGCTTGGAAAGGCAGTCCTGAGTAAGGTTGGCAGCAGAATTTTGTCTCCTCCATGTAAGTGATTTCAGCCCATGTATTTCACAGAACCTGGGACTTCTCTGGGGCTCACAGGACCCTTTCATACCGCCAGGTGCACACCTTCCTTTCCACGAGGCTTGGTTTGATATCAGCACCCATCAAAGGGTGGGAGCCCTGGTGCACCTGGGGTGGCTTAGCAGCACCAAGCCCCATCACTGTGGAGGAGCCAAGGGTACCAGGCACCCTCAGAGCAGAATTTGTGTCTCCTGGGCACGAGCCAGCAAAGAGGGCATTGCTGGGTCTGTCCTTTGGTCAGAGAACAAACAAGTCAGGCAGGGCCCACATGCATCAAATTGAGTAATTTTATTTTACTTCTGCCACATAGTGTGTTTCTTTTGGGGATTCTTAAGTCCTTATGCAGGGAGAGGAACATACAGTAGCCTGTGATCTGCTTTTGTGCTTCAGCTTCAGGAGCTGCTCTGCTGAACTGTGGGTGGAGGTGGCTTCTCTGGCTGCAAGTTATGGCTTAGTTTAACAACAGCAACAGCCCTTTTCTTCCACCAAAATAAAAGAGATCTCTGTGTGCGTTGTTATGGGGTGTGGTTGAAGGAGAGGGAATCACTGTTTTCTTAGTGATATTCCCAATCATAATTTTTTTTCTCCTTCCTAAAAAAAGACTGAAAAAAATATTCCAGTCCAAAGAGGCAGGCCCAACTTTGTTTCAACATAATTACCTTGCATTCAGTTGAACTTCAGCCCTTCTGTACACTAACACTTCAATCTAATTGTTTGATTAAACTCGTATTTCCTCCAGAAAGGTACATAAATAAGTGAATTGTTGAGCAAATTAAGAATACTTAACAGCATTGCATCTGAAAAGTAGTTACGCTGATTAAATTTTCTGTCCTTGAGGATTTTCAGGAAATTACTTTTGATCGTCAATAACACAATTAAGTAAACTACACGCACATTAGCATGAATAATTGATAAGAAATTATGTATTACCACGAAGCACTGATTTAATAATTCATGATGCGACACTCTAGTGACTGTGCAAAACTGGATAACATCTACAAGTCTGCCTGATGTTGCTGGAAATGCTGCAAATACAAACAAGTCCACAGTTTTGTTGTACAATAAAGGAAAGTATCTGATGCATGCTGTAGTTTTTGTTTGTTTAATACTTGAATAAATTTAGAAAGAAGACCCTGAAAAGCTCCTGTACTGTTTTCATTCAGACCAATTTCTCTGTGCAAGCACCTTTCACAGTGATGACTGCACAGTTCTGCTCAGACCACAGTAATATTGCAGAGTGAGGGAGGCTCTCCCATGCAAAGCTGGAACCTGCTGGGTATCTCAGAACTTGCAAAATTAGGGGGCTCAAAGCTTTACAAATCCTCCTGGTAAGGAGCAAAACAGCATTAGACCCCCTTAAGCCTGAGCTCTTCAGTGTCTGATGTGCCTGTGATTATAATTATTCAGTAAGATTTTGTGGGTGATTGCTCTAAGTCAGCCAAAAAGGAGGCTGATTTGTGTGCTTTGAGTGTACACAATGCCATGTTAAACCCTAGGCCAATTCTCTTACAATTCTCGAAGTCTGCCGAGGGGAGGCAGATGAATATTCATATTCTTGTCAGCATATCGGAGCAGCCATGAGCCACCTCTTCCTCTAAGCCTTCGATCTGAGACCTGGCTGCTCAGGGCAGTGCATCCCAAGAGAACCTGCTTGGAGTCACTCAGCAATAGCACAAGGGCAAGAGCAAAACTCCAGAGATCTGTGTCTCAGTCATGCTTGTTTCTAGCCAGCAGACCCTGCTCCCTTCCAGATGGACTGCCCACTGCAGATGAGCCACCTGCCCACTTTCTGTGCTGTCATATATCAGGGCTATGCCACTTAAACCTCTCTAATGGCCATTTCAGTAGCTCTGATTAAGTCTGGCATTTAAAAGTTTATAACTCAGCCATAAAAAGTCACTCAGGCTGAACCCCAGATTGAGAGGCCCAAGCCCAAGGGGATGATTTACATGAGAGCTATTTCAAAATTAGCCGGCATGGTATTTTTTTGGTTATGTGAAGGAAAATTGGAAGTCCAAGGTTTAAGGGATGGATGTAAGATAAATATGTTTTGTTTGACAGCTCACTGCATTGTCACTAGATCCTATGAAATAATTTTCTCTGAATTTCTGTACTTGCATGAGCCATGCATAGCATGGACAGTTACTGTGACAATATTGCTTGCTTAGGTTTGGCAAAGTGTCTCCAGTCCTGGGCTCCTTTCTCAAGAAATCACAGACACTCACAATGCCCAGGCTCCTCCTCATCCCCTACCTTCCCTGCATCCTCATTCATGGCTCTGTGGAAAGCCCACGGCCCTGCCTCCAGCCCTGGTGCTGGCTCGCCACTTGTGCCACCACCATGCTGCAGTTCCTGCTGCCCCAGGGCCCTGGGGAGGCTTTGGCGGAGCCATCCAGGAGCCCGTGCTCAGGAAGTGTGTGGGGTGACCACGTGTTGGGCTGGGTTTTGTCAGTGGGGTTGCTGCAAAGTGCCACACTGTGGGGCTTCTTTATAAGGTTGCCTGCCATTCTCTCAGCTCTCCATGCTTGTTACCTCTTACACATCTAATTAAGTCTCCTTATGCCTATGTACATTATAACAAGAAATGTGGAGCTGTGTTTTCACTTTTGCTCAGTTATGCTTTAGGCTAGTCCTTCCTACACTGCATGCTGGATAGTAATGAGATTGTTGGTCTAATTGGCTCTTTATTAGGAGTATTATTTACAACAATGCTGAAGGCCATGTGCATACAGATCTTGGTTTAACATTAAACTCTTCTCTCTTGCAGTCAGTGCCCGCCTCTCTGTTGCCCACAGACTGTTGCCCTTGGTGAATTTGGGATGACCTCTCCACTTCCCAGAGGAGTCCCCCATTCCAGGTCATGGCCAGGGATGAAAGCCTGCTGGCAGGGCTGTGTCTCTGGAAGTCTGCACTTGTGCTGTGCACTCAAGCTTTCTGCTTCCCCGCAGCAGAAAGAAGCCAGCCCAGTGTGGGAGGAAGTCATTTGCTGCTGGGTGGACCACAAGGGAACAGGGGATGGAGATGAAATGCTTGTGGTGTGCTGCTGTGGCACATTCTCCCTCTAAACGAGCTCTGCTCGATACAGATGCTGCTGTGCTGGGCTGGCGGGGGGTGGAAGCAGTGTGTGAAGCAGGGGAAGTGAGATGCCCTGAATTGATACCCAAGCCTTGAGTACATAACTCAGAGCTCTCTGCTGAAGAGTTTGACACCCCTCTCTGAGATCACAGTGCGGCCCGAGGGCGGGGGATTGCACCACCACAATGCCATAAATAAAAGTGTAATAGAGTACAATAAACAATGCTTTATTCTTTCCGGTTAAAAACTTCCTTTGCAATGTAATAAAATATTGACTTTAGGTGGCCATATTACCACAATATAAGATCTTTTCCTGACAACTACCGAAAAAGCATTTAACAGTCCTGGCTTGTGAAAATGTGAATTTCATTGGCCTGTAGCACATCTAGCCTTAGTTGAAAGCAAAGTTTTGACAACATTTTAATAATCCAACCACAGTGGCCTTGTCTACCCTACGTTGTCTGCCACAAATAGGTGCTGATCTGCTGTTTCAGAAGTCTGAGCATCATATTTTGGAGTTGTGAAACGTTTCTTGTGGCAAACTAGTAATAGTTAAATCTCTCTAGGATTTAAAATATTGGCTTGCATAATTCTTCTAGTATTTAATTCAATGGCTTCTTCTGTAGTCAGTATTTTTTCAATATAACATCCATAATACAAAACAGAGAAGACAAAAAAACTCACTGCTTGTGTAATTTTATTTAAAAGAGTTTTCACATGCAGAGCCACAAAAGGCAGCTTCTAGAACTCTGCTCAGATGGGCCTGGAAGTTACTGAAGCTGCTTCTGGTCTCAGACAATGCAGCTAAATAACTCTACAGCGTCCTGGAGCATCTGAGATTGAGACAGCTATTTGTGCAGAGAAAGTATCCACTCCTCTGGGCTGGTCTAGTGGCAGAGTGGCTGTTACTATCCTGCCTTCTAAGTCCCAGCACAAGCCAGAGTACTGTGACATTAATGTTGTATACAGGTGAACACCAGGAATATGTCATCCTTCATGATTTACTTACCCATCTTCTGCCCTAGCAGTGGCCTGAACACACTCTGGAAAGTGCCTTCAGCCCAGCCTAG